AGATAGATAGATAGATAGATAGATAGATAGATGATAGATAGATAGATGATAGATAGACAGATGATAGATAGATGATAGATAGATAAATAGATAGATAGATAGATAGATAGATAGATAGATAGATAGATAGATAGATGATAGAGATGATAGAAAGATAAATGATATATAAATGATAGATATGGATAGATAAATGATACAGACAGATGATAGAGATGATAGATGATAGATAGATGATACATAGATGATAAAGATCGTTAGATAGATAAATGATAGATAGACAGACAGACGGCGAGACAGAAAATAATTCTGGTGTCCCCCCTAGGCTGCAGTTTGGCTAGGAAGCGCCTTTCCCCGGCTACGATTCCTTCCACACAAATCCAAAATTGCCTTTTGCAGTCAAAACAGTTTGGTTTGTCGCTTCGCTGTCGTGAAGGGACTAGTTTCGGCTGCTGGTTTTGGATCTCGCGCAAGGATTGCAAATGTTTGTGTGTGAATGCGTGACAGGGGTTGCTGTTTGAACAGAGGGTTGGACTAGATGGCCTCCAAGGTCCCTTCCAGCTCTGTTTTTCAATGATGATAGATTTTCTTTTCCCTAAAAAAAATCTGATGTTGGGAAAAACACCGATTCTAAGGTACCAATGTAGCCAATGCATGGCTGGGGGATTCTGGGAGTTGAAGTCCATCCATCTTCAAGTTGCTGAGGTTTAAATCCATCCTTGCTACAAAAGCTCCTTTTTTCTCTTTTTTTCTTTCCTTTTTTTCTTTTTCAATCTTCTCAATATGTTAGATTAACAGAGTTGGAAGGGACCTTGTGGGTCATCTAGTCCACCCCACGCACCCCCCGCCCAAGCAGGAGACCGTACATCATTTCTGACAGACGGCAGTCCAGTCTCTTCTTGAAAGTCTCCAGGGATGAGACTTTCTTTCTCTTTCTTTCTCTTTTTTGAAATATAATTTTATTCAGTTTTCCAACAATTTAAAAACATAAAAAAAAACCCAATTGCATCAGCATTGAAGACAGCATTTACATTTCTTAACCATATTCTTATACTTAATTTTCTATTACATTGCAATTATTACATATTACTTTTTCTATTAATTCTCTATTCCTTACTCCTTGCTTATGCCACTTGTTACTGGGGTTTCTCTTTAGATCGTATAAATATTTCGCCTTTCTCTTTCTTTCTCATTTCGTTCTTTCTTTTATTTTCCCTTCCTTCCTTCCTTTTTTTCTCCTTTTTCTTTTTCTCTTGGGGGGAATTTGAAGAGGGGAAGAGAAACGAGGAGAGGAATAAATAAACAAGTAATATATTTTGAGAAGGCAAATAAGCTTAGAAAACTCAGCATTCAACTGGAAACTATTAATTTGGATAACAACATTTCCATCCGAATGTAGTGCCAGCCCCATATTAAAATAAATAGATGCCATTATTCGGTTAACCTAGAAGAGTTATGTCTGAGGATACAATTGGAGAAACTGCAGGGTTATATGTGTAAAGGAAGGAAATTAAGACATAAATAAGTAGAGAAAGGCCGGATTAGAAAAACTCTTCAGCGGTTGCCACAGAAAAGAAGCTTATGAGAAATAAGTAATGACGATTACACAAGAAATCAGAGAACATTGCAAATTTAGTAGCAGCAAGAACCCAAAGGCATTAAAAAGAAGAAGAAGAAGAAGAAGAAGAAGGAGGAGGAGGAGGAGGAGGAGGAGGAAGGAAGGAAGCACGGTTCAAATTCATTCAGGGCTTTCCCAGTTACAATCCAACATTCTCTAACGCCAAACCAAGTTTCCTTTCAAACCACTGCGTGAGGTGTGCGCTTGTGTCATCCTTTGGCTTTGGGACCTGCCAGAAAGGTGGAAGTATTTGCAGGGAGAGGTCCTGTTGATTCTCACACGTGTATGACAGCTGTGTGTGTGTGTGTGTGTGTGTGTGCTCCCAATCCGAAAGTCCGCAGCCAATGGGTTTGGCGACAACCCAAAGGATCCATCCAATAATGCGGATTTCCTCCTCCTCCTCCTCGTCCTCCTCCACCACGTAAATCCGTCAACCTAAGATCCGAGGGCCACGATTTCGAGGACTGAAAAAGGCAGGCCACCGTCTTCGTGGCTGGCTGGGGGGCGAAAAAGACTCACATGTCATCATTGTCCTTCTCCAGCCATCCATGGAATGATCCCAAACCCGGGGAAGAGGCTTAACTGGAGAGATTAAAAGCCCAGAAGGACAGCTCCAATTTGGAAAAGGCAGAATGAATTAATCTCCTAGGGCTTGGCCTAAATTAATTCAATTCCCATTCCAACGCAAGCAAAGGAAGCTTCCGGGAAAGGGGGGAGGGGGCTTGTGATGTGGTTTAGGGGTGGGATTCTACCTGGTCGGATTGGTTCTATAGAACCGGTTGTTACGATTCTGCGCAGTTCGGAGAACCGGAAAATCACGCCACTTGGCTGGCCCCAATCCTCCTCTCCCCGCCCACTCACTCCTTACCCTGGTATGCACGCCATCCAGCTCGCCTGTGTTTTCGCCTTTGTCTAATATTTGGTAAATTACTATTTTTCACTTCACCCCACCCCAACGATCAGCTGTTCCGGCTATCAGCTGTGCCAAATGATTTAGATTAGCTAGAAAGCAGGAAATCGTGGGAATTCTTGCTTTCTAGCTAATCCAGATCGCGGTTGTTCTGCTTCGCCTTCACCCATCAGGAGGTTTCCCCGAGAGGCCCAGTCAGGGTGTTGATATTCAGGGATTTTTTGGGGGGTGGGTGGGAGGAAAATGGCCTGAGAGCAGAGCCGAACCTTCCTTAGGACCGAAGCATCTATTTTCCAGTGCAGACTCAGGCGGCAGATTGCAGAAAGGTAGACCTCTGAGTGAATCTGCAAGCAACTCAATCTGCTTTGCCTGATTTTTGGGAAAAACTTTTTTAAAAAAAATAAAAAATGCAATATTTACTCAAATATTTACAGTGTTTACATACAAGCCACTCCCACACCAGCCACATGCCCGCCAAGCCACACCCACAAATTAGGCCACGCCCACAGGACTGGTTGTTAAGAAATTTGAATCCCACCCCTATTTAGGAGACCGGGGCTACACTGGGGGGGGGAGCCGGGGTCGAACTGGTTCCTAAAGAGGGGAATGTCACTTGAAATTTGGGGGTCTCCAGTGCACAAGCAGCCCTTTAATGTGGCCATCTATGGAGAATTACAACTGTTCACATGGAGGGAGGAGACAGCCTTAGGTCACCTACAGGCACAGGGATCCGTGTGTGTGTGTGTGTGTGCGTGTGTGTTGGCCCCTACACTTGGACCACAGGCTTCACTCATCCTTTAGCTCCGGAGTCAGCTTCCACACAACAGAGCCAAAAAGTTTTGATATTTCTTGACGGCCAGAACATTTCGACGAGCTATAACGAAACGGGATTAACCTCTTCTGCAAAGCACCAGAAGGCCGGACAAGAAGCAACGGATGGAGACTCATCCAGGAGAGAAGCAACGTGGAATTATGGAGACACTTCCTCGCAGTGAGGACAATTAACCAGGGGAACTGCTTGCCACCAGAAGTTGTGGGCGCTCCGTCCCTGGAGGTTTTGAAGAAGAGACGCTGGGCAGCCATTTTGTCTGAAACGGTCTAGGGCCGTGACGGCGAACCTATGGAACGTGTGCCGGAAGTCGCATGCAAAGCCATTACTGCCGCATGCAAGCCCTCACCCAGAGCAGGTCTACTGCACATGCATGTGTGCTGCCCACCCGACAACTGATTGTCGGGTATCTGGCATGCATGTGCAGGGGTGTGTGCAGGGTTGGGATTCAATTTTTTAACAACCGGATCTGTGGGCGTGGCTTAGTTGGTGGGCATGGCTTGGTGGTCATGTGACTGGTTGGCCACGGCCAACTCAACATCACTCCCATCGACGCACGCATCTCCTAGCCTGGACTCTCATGACTGTGGGGATGCTACAACAGTTGTAAGTGTGAAAAATGGTCATAAATAACTTTTTTCGGTGCCACTGTAACTTTGAATGGTCCCTCCACACAAGCAAAGTACCAGCAAAGGAGGGGAAAAAAACTCCAGAGAAGTTCCTGAGACAGGAAGTCTAGTCCTGCCAAGAATGTAACAAGGGTTAGCGGAGAGGCAGTTTCTGTCAGCAACACCAGAATGTTTCCTTCCTGCCTTCCTTACAGGATTAGCCCTGTAATTTCTTCTAACATCCGGTTCTCCGAACTGTTTAGAATGTTAACAACCAGTTCTAGCGAATAGGTGCGAACTGGTAGAATCCCACCCCCGGGTGTGTGTGTGCGGGACACACACACACACATGCGCAAGAGGCGTGGTGCACGTAGGGGTAGTCGCTCACGCATGCGCGGGGGGGGGGGAACACATTGCCTTCTGGGTGCTGGAGCCTCAAAAGTTTATCCACCACCGATATAAGATTTCCTGCTTGAACAAGGAGGCTGGACTAGAAGACCTCCAAGGTTCCCTCGCAGCTTATTCTATTCCATTCCTATCCCTTTTTCTATCCTACATTCTATTCTAAATTCTATTCTATTCTAACTCTGTTCTAATTCTGAATTCTATCCTATCCTATTCAGATCTGGACTGGTCCATTTCATGCCACTTTGGGGGTGGGGGGGTGAAACGGGGACTTCCAGCAGGTGCCATTTCTCAGGGCCTGTTTTCGGATTTGCTTTCTTCGTTTAAGAGCCGAAAAGGATTCGGCTGATTAGGCCACCTAGAGACCCCCGTGTGCCATTATTACTTCCGAAAGCTGAATGTCTTCGGAGTGGGAATTCTTTCCAGACGAGTGATTAACCGGAGTCATTTATTTTCCGGAGGAGAAAAGTTTAATTCCCGCTTTAGCTGTCCCCGAGGAGCCGTTGCTCCCTTTGCAAAGCTTAATCAAGGCGGCTAATGCAGCTCCGGCTCTCTTTTCCCGCTGAGTTGTGACCGGGGAAGGGAGCTCCCTCCGGGGCCAACGCAAGTGACGCCGTGGGGGCGAGGAAAAGGCCCCGTTGAGCCTGGCTTTTAAAGCAGCCACTTTGTCGCGGGCTGGTTTTATTTCCATCCTGACTTTGATTATATTTGACAAAGGAATCACGGTGGGGCACGGAAGGCAGGAATTCCTCCTCCTCCTCTTTTTCTCACAATGACAACCCTGTGAGGTGGGCTGGGCTGAGAGAAAGAGAGGGGGGGGGGGGGACTGGCCCAAAGTCACCGATCCTGCTGTCGTGTTTAAGGCGGGACTAGAACTCAGTGTCGGCTGGTGATTGGCCCAGTCACCCAGCTGGGTTTCACAGATAAGGCAGGACTAGAACTCATCATCTCTTGGTGATTGGCCCAAAGTCACCGATCCTGCTTTCATGTTTAAGGCGGGACTAGAACTCACTGTCGCCTGGTGATTGGTCCAAAGTCACCAATCCTGCTTTCATGTTTAAGGCAGGACTAGAACTCAGTGTCGCCTGGTGATTGGCCCAAAGTCACCTAGATGGTTTTCATGCCTAAGGCGGGACTAGAATGCACTGTCGCCTGGTGATTGGCCCAAAGTCACCTAG